AACGGCAGACGCGAGAAAAAAAGAAGCAACAAGGAATGCGAAGAGATAATTTAACGGATGATAATTTACATATATCAACATGGAGAGATGAAGATCGAGGATCGTCTTAAAACTACTTGAAGACGCACACTTTTGCGTCCTTCGCAGCGATAAATGCACACGTACACAGATAAAATGCACACACGTACACACATTTACCTATTCTTTATTTCCTCCTGTGTGCTTCCGCCTTTGTTTTTGTTATTGCTATCCCGTACATTTTGCCATTTTGCCAACGTCGCTTCGGCACGCATATCGCACGCTAATCACAGGATGACAAGGAGGAGTCTTCTTGGCGAGAAATACTAGAGGCGAAGAATCGTGCCATATTCGAGCTGGAAAGAACGATGGAGAGTCTTCAGATGGAGCACGACAAGTGCAAGGACCTGTTGGGCGACGCGAAACACATTGAATCGTGGAAGAAGGAGATAGAAGCGAAGAATCATCACATTGTTCAGCTGGAGCAGCAATTGAAACTCTATGACAATTTAAAGAACGACATCGTCGGGCACGACAAAACGAACAAGGATACCGAAACGCAAACGAAGACGTGCAAGAATTGTTGTAGTCCAAGTACGAAGGATCGACAAATTCTCGCGCTGAAGCAGCAAGGAAAGGCCTTGAGGGATTCTTTGAAGAATCACGCGGACACAACGGAATCCTCCGAAAAGGACGCCAACGATGACAAAATTAATGAAAAAGCGGAGGAGATTTGGAAGCGGGAGATCAAGATGAAAAATCAGCGCATTGTCGAACTGGAGCAGGAAATAGCATCGATGGAGAGTTTTCTGCGGAAGAATGTTGACGCACAGAGGATGCGTGACCTCGAAAAGACGATTGACAGAAGGTCCAGTCGAATCGCGGAATTAGAAGACACCGTGGAGGAGCTGGAGGGCTTCCTCAAGGAAGACATGAAGGAGATGCGTGATCTGCGCTACCAGGTATCTCTCGATAAAGAACATATCATGAAAATGGAGAAGTGGATCCAAAGGAACAATCTCATAAACGTGGGAATTGACAAAGCGAGAATTATAGAGCTGGAGAAAATGGTAACGAGCTTGGAAGATTACGTCAGAAAACACGACATTGACGGCCTTAAGCGAAAGCTGCAGGATCGAGAATGCAAAATTGATCAGCTGGAAAATCAAATTTCTGAGCTGAATAAAAAGCTGTCGAGTTCCCAAGAATATAAATCAGGTTAGTCAAAGCTTTGTCGAAATTGTTTTTTTTTTTAATTTTTATTTATTTATAATTTTATTATAATTATTTTAATTTATTATAATTTATTATAATTTGTAATTTTTATTTATATTAGATTATTCCTATATTATTTTTTTAGCTAGAGATATGCCGAAGAAAAGCGTTTTGACAGATGATATAGTAGCCCATAAACCAGAAGAAAAAGAAGAAGAGATGAAAGATATAATTGACATCGTTTTGAAAGAAGATAATAGACTTCAAGAGTGTAAGCAAGAGGAGAATCTGAAAATAGAGTTGCGAGAAAAAGAGCAAAAGATGAAGGAAATGGGACACGACATTTCGGAAAAGGATAACAAAATCCAAAAGTATGAACAGCAGATTATCGAACAACAGAATAAAATTTTGAAAATGGAGGAGACGATAGCTGAAATGGAAGAAGAACTGTACGAGACGGAAGACATTGGCGCGCTGAAGGAAGAGATCAAAGTGAAGAACGAGAGAGTGCAAGAGCTAGAAATGGAAGTCAATTCTCTGGAGACTTCGCTCAGCGAGAGAATTGATGTCGCGATCGAGGAACTCATTGCTACCCTGAAAAAGAAGGAAGAAACAGAGCTTCAATTGAAAATGGATCTCACAGATAAGAGGTGTAAGTTAGAAGAGTTGGACGCGGCCCTTCGTCAGAGTATCGCAATCACAGATGAGATCGAAACAAAATTCAAGGATGAGAAGAAGCTTAGAAAGGAGGCCCATCAGAGAGTGAGTTTTGAAAACCTTTGCAATAATTTATTTAATATATTTTTATATTTGATTTATATTAAAATATATTTATAATATAATATAATCAGTTTAAATTTATGCAACGTTTTTTAAAAGATTCATTATCGATCTATCAGATTACCGAGTTAGAGAAGAAAATTGCAGTCATGCACGCTGCCTCAGCCACAAAATGCATCACGTGTAAACCGCTTCTTTACAAGATATTTACGGCCGAAGAGAAGCTCATTCAATCGAAACAGGAGAAAACTGTTCAGCTTCAGGAGTTGCATCAGATAAAGTGAGTTTTAAAAATTCAAGTTAATAGTTCTATTTCAATAGACTCTGTGAAAGTAAAATACATTTTTTATCGTTTACTTCACAATGATTATTTCTTGCAGACATGAAGCTTTGAAAGCTGCACTTTCCGAGAAGGATGCTCATTTAGCTCTGTTAGAACATTCAGGCATCAAAACTCCAACGCAAGTGGATCAGGCGGCGAAATTGAAAGCCGATAAGAAAATACTACTCGATAAATTAAGGGAGGAGGTAATTAGCTTAGAAAACCTATTGAAAGTTCTTTCTTATGACATCGAAAATGGAACGATAATAATATTTTTTAGGATGAAAAAAGTATCAAGTTGGATTTCGAACGAGAAACAACACCTCAATCACTTCAAGAAATATTCAAGATATCTGACGACAATGAAGATGGTAGTGATAACAATAATAATTCTTTTGATGATCGCTTTAGTAGGATCAAATCATCGAAATCAACTATTGTGAATAGCGACAGCTCGCTAACATTAGCTACTACAAGCTGCAAGAATTCGTAAGTTAACAATAAATTTTTCAATCCCAATGATTGAAATTTGTAAAATCAACATATAAAATAATAATTTTTAAATAGATTTTTGAAAAAAGAAGTCCATGATTACAATATTTACATATATTTCAATTTATAACAAAAATTATTTTTAAAGTATTGATTAAAATTATATTTTTTTAACAATTTTATATAATAATAATTTTTAAATAAATCTCTATAAGTGATTGAAGTACTGCTTTTAAAAGATAAATGTTTTTAATAGATATTCTTAGATAGCTAATAGAATGAATTGTGAAACATTTTGTAGAACGAGGACGTCGATGGTGTTCAATTTGGAAGATGGGGAAAATCAGCCGCAAATTTATCAGCAGGATACCAGATAAGTACTTGAGTACTCCTACGGTATTTCGGAGTATCGATCCCTTCGTTGTTGTCAACCTCGATGTTGTCATACGCACACATCCGCGAACGTAGAACAGATGTCTTTAGAAACGTAGTAAAAAAGAAAATGAAACGAAACAACAACTACAACAGCAAAATTACAGTACACCATCAATATCAGCAACTACAGCAACAGCCAACACTTCTGCCTTTATGCTGCTCATCATCGCGCATCAGTCTTCATTAGCACCATCATCTTCGTCATTATTCGACATTTCTTCATTATTATCCAACCATTATTCGATATTTCATCCACGTGATACATAGTGCTTGAAAGAATAGTCAAGATCGAGAAGCCAGAAACTTCTTCAGATTGCTGGTAAAAAAAATAATATTCGTTTATGATGAATAAAATATAACATGGATGACATGATGGGGTATTATATTCTGACAATGTGTTATGGGCGTTTATCTTTTTCTTCCTTCGACTTCAATGTTGTTTGGATATCATTATTTGCTATTATTGCAGTAATGTATTGAAATATGCGATCCGTTGTTTATTACGTACTTTCTTGCAGCACAGCATAAAATATTATAAAAAAATTGACAGTTTGTCAGAAAAGTATTGTTTTATATTTATTTCTTTAATTTTAAGTATTATAATTGGAGTTGCAAAAAAGAAAATAAAAATTAGATTAGCAGATGATTAAAAGACATAAAAGAAGGTTAGTAAGGATTGAAATTTTATTTCTTTTTAATTTTAATATTTTAAACGATTATTTAATTTAGAGTATCTAGAAATTTATATAAATAAAAACTCTTTCTTGGTTATTCGTAGCTATTTATAACTTAATTTGTTTGAAAAGTTTTACTTAGTTTTATGAGTTAGGTATATTGACATTTTTGACAAATTAAATTACAATTGATATAAATTATTTCTGCAGTCTTTGTATTCTGCAAAAAAGGAAAAGTAAATTAATTAAAAGAAAAGAATGTCATAAAAATTTTAATTAAGCTGCATTGGAAAATTTAATTTTGTTATTATTGAATTACTATTTTTTACCTTTTTCATTTTTGTTTATCTTGATTTTCACGAGAACTGATTAAAAAATGATTAGTTTTAAAACTAGTGTCTGTGATTTCAGAAATTGATATTTAAGAAATCAAAAATGTTCAGAAAAAAATTCTGAATGTATCATCTCTAGAATGTTGCATTAAATTATTGCAATCGTCACGCTGATCGCAAAAGTGAGAATTTGCAGAAGGATATATCGCTGTACTAAGCGATTTGCACGGTCAGAGTGTACTATTTAAGATGCACTCTGGGAAAAATCGCGAGAGGCCAAGATAACGTAGCCGAGGCACTAAAGATAATCTCTTGTAAATAATATACTTATGTTATTTCTTCCATCCGTGCAATTGCCCAAAAGTCGTGAACGATTCCTTGGAAATTCCTACTTAAAAGTCTATATCCGTTCCCAAAATACTACAAATCACTATAGCATAGAAATTTATTATACATATATACACGCATAAGTATCTCGCTAACGAAATCCGCATTTACTCGAGACTATCCTATCAGAGAACGCACGGTCATTATGTGTATGTGTATATCATGCGAGAGGATAACAGATCGTAATAAAATATCGCAAGGAACAGACGCGTTCTGAAATCTCGAGAATTGATTTTAAGGAAATGAACTTTAAAAAATGTGCATTTCTTTAAGAAACTTTGGCAGACACTTGCGATAACATGAATTATTTAATAAAATGAAGTGAACATTTTAAATCGCAACGTATATTGCAAGACATGTTATATCGCAAATCTGCATCTGAAAACATATTTAAAAAATGATATCTTATGATAAAGATTTCATCTACAGATCTAAATTGTTTCGTTGTCGTTAAACGCGCGCGACGCGATATTTCATTACGTTCTCTTTTTTTTTTCCTTGTGACCATTGGCGAAAGTTAATAGGAACGGTACAAGACGTTTGATGAGATATTTAAAAGATTCGAAATATCTTCATTTTTTTGGAGGCAAATTGGCGAGCGAATCTGAGATGCTGCAACGCGCGATACGATATTTACGAGGCAAGTGCAATTTAATTTATATATCGTCGCGGCGGGCACGTTGCAGCATTTTTGAGTAACAAATATATCTGCTTTTTGCGGAAACCATAATGTTGGTTAATATATTACAAAAGAGAAACGACCAACGGAGAGGAAAATCCTTCCGGATGGCACGTTCTTTGATCGTTCGATCTCACTCGCCGCCAATGTTATCGCGTCTGCCATTGCAGTGAGTTAAATTGCAAAATGTTGAAAGTGTAAAATTTTATTGTTAATACTTGAGGATAGCCCCTCTGTATAAATTCCGCGGGTACAGTACTTCTCTCGTGCTGGGTTATCCATTCTCGTTCATTCATTTAACTCCGGCGTCTCTTGACAAAAAACGTCTACGACCCAAAAGACTTATCAATTCCACTCTAATATATTTAAATGTTAGGAAAACTATAAGCTGGAATCAAAGTGCGTTGTGCGCGGCGTGATTATTTGTTGGAGCGAAGCATCGCGAGTCGTAAAAATACGTTCAGAAATTTGAAGAGAAATATTACTTAGTCATATTTTAGTCATATTTTTCTAATCAGTACTTATACAAATTCTTATTTCTTTTTTCACTATATTCACTATATTCACTAACGATATTTAATTTAATTTGTTGAAAAAGTTTGAAATTCAAATGTTTTAATTTTAATTTAATTTAATGATATGAGAATTTAATAAAAATCGCGATACTTGGCCGTAATTCTTGCTCGATAACGGCATACGTTGCTGCGAAATAACTTCCTCTCCTATTTCTGATCTTCAATCTCGTGTAGATACACGTACAGAGATGAGAATTTAAGTTAATATTGCCAGAACCGCATGAATAAATTAAGATGCGAATTATGAGATCAATAATTATATTTATGTTAAGTTTGAAATTTTTCACTAAAATCAAATACAGACAATCTAACAATCATTGACAATTATCTGGACCATCTACATTTTCTCTGTTTGAAATCAATGAGAGTTGCCTGATGAGTAATGCCTTTTTCATATAAATGTTAGAAAATAGTGAAATTCTATGAACAACACAACTTGTTAAATAGTTCTAATTTTTATAAGGAATAAATAATTGTTATTTAAAATTTCTGTTATGTCCAATGTTTTACACATTGTAAATTTATAATTTAATTGCACTTGGATTACTTTCGATTTTAAACAGAGGATATAGCGCAATAATTAAATATCTCTTTTGCGACGATCGAGTCGAGAGATCGAAGGTGAGATGGAGAGGAAGAATAAAGGAAAAGAAATAAAACGAAAAAAATTAGTTAACGTGTGCCACCGTCATATCAAGCCTATATCATCGTGTTACATCATATATAGCTAAGCAAAAAAAAAATAATATTATCGTTACTTGACATAATTGTTAACACAGAACGAATGTTCGGAGCATGAATGCGTTGCGCGTTTGATGAATCGATTTTTATGAAATCGGCAGCATTATTTCTTCAATGTGAAATTTTTTAATTGTTGATAAATTTGAATAACTGCAGACACTTAACTCATTTTTACGACAATATTCGACATTTCTAGAGTTTTCTCTCAACTCTCACCTAATCTCGTTGTGAATATCGAATTTAAGTCACTTTCAACGTTTCAGCTTTTTGATATGCATAACATACTATCATGCAGCTCGATAATAATCTTAATTTATAATTCAATAATATTTCCGCGACAAGCCGCAGGGAGTGTGTGATTACGTGCGCAAACGGGGAATGCGACAGACACAGACAAAGTATCAGATCGAATTTCTTGTTGACATATTAGATTCTACTAACATAATATTACGATATAATAACAGTAATATATTATCCGTTCACTCCACGAAATCCTTTCGATACAATCGATGTCATAGAGTTTTTGTCGTCCGCGTCGAAAGGGTAAAAGAGAAATAGTTCTGGTGAGAGAACGAACGAGGGGGAGGATGCGATTGTATTTCGCAACAGATCGCGCCTAAATTATTATTAGAAGCGTAATAAACGATAGGATAATAAACACTCGTTAAACTTTAGGCCCGATTTCACTTGGCTGCGAGATCATTATTGCCAGACTCTCGTCCGCAATTTCACGCTTCTGTTTAAAATTAATTATTTTCAACGAAGAATATCTGTAATTAGTAATTTAAAATTATTAATTGTTATATAATTTTAATTGTTATTTAATTTTTCCAGATATGCTCTCTCGTGCCTAAAATTGTTTATGAAAAAGTATCACTGGACAAGATCCATGATTTAACCATCATAATTTTTCACCATGTAATTATCTGTCGGCGAGTTATTGGCTATTATCGAGATCCTCCCCTCGAATCTCACCAATTTGTAGCATTCAAGATGATTCTAAGATTGCGAGACTGCAGAGTGAGACGAGAGTGAGAGGCCGAGTGAAAGAAAGGAAAAGAAAAACGGTCCTGATATTATTTTTTGACTCGTGACTGTTAAATGTCCACGATAAGGAAATAACCAAAAAAAAAAAAAGAAAAAGTACGATTTTTATGTGAATATTGTATAAGGAAAGTCGTACCGGCGTTATCGCAATTCTTATTGGATTGCTATTTCGAGATAAAATGATTAAAATCTTCATCCAATTGCTATTTTATAAAAATCAAGTACACTAAATCAATTTGAGAAAATAATTATCCACAATTCAATAAAAAACAAGTATAACTATTTACATTGGCACTTCTAATCTTATTGTTTTTTTTTAACTGTGCTAGTGATAATCTATATTGAAAATGAAATTTCCTTGCTATAAAAAATATTTTGCATCCGATAAAGATCAACAATGGTACGGCGTGATTTCAACCCGCTCCTTTTCTATTCTCCAATTTCTACATGTTTAATCGCTAAGTGAACAATTACCAACAAGTCTTAACGAAGGGAAAATGCGATAAGGAGAGAGAGAGACGCTTCGATTATATTATTGTGCAATGTTTATCATTAATAATCTCGAAAAATCGACGCAATACAATTTTCGATCGCGTGTATATACCTAAGCGAATGATAATAATGTGACAACGGGGGACATATAAGACAAAAGTGTGAGCGATATGAGCGTATATGTGTGTGAGAGCGAAAGAAAAAAAATGAGTGAAAGAGAGGGAGAGAGAGGGAGAAGGAAAAAAAAACAAGAATATGAGTGAGATAGGTTCTGTTTCGCCTAGTCCTTGCTTAATTAATTAGGCGTCGTGTATATCTCGAGCGAGTGTTGCGTTTAATTCAACCGGAAATCGCCGAAACCGCTTTCACGTTCGTTTTTTTATAATTTTTTTTCCATGTGCTTCGATGATTTCCGGTTCCGGGCAGGAGTCTATGATGATCGTACGCGAAAGAGAGAACAGGCAAATTGTAATTGAAAAGTGCGACGAAATTAGAAATATAAGATTTACCGAAGTAAGTTAAGAGATAAGCTAATTAAAGTAACAGTTTATTGAAGTACATTGTTGCAACTGCCATGCTGTGTGCCATTATATAACGAGTCACGTT